GTAGTGTTTAGCGTGTCCTCGGCAGGCCGGTTAGTCAAAGATCCATTAACGTTTAACATATGGACATGCAGTATCTGTCAACCTTGTAGTAGAGTACATATATTAGACAAACAACATCGTAAGTTTGCTTCACTATCTGAAAACCATGTGAAAAACAGTTTCAATTTCGATGGGCGTAATACTATTATTATTATTATTATTATATTATATTATATTATATTCTTCTCTGTGATGAATTATATTACAAACGTCCCAACTAATCCCAACAACTTGATTCTTCCATGGAAAAGCCAGCACCAGATCTTTGAAAAAAGCATCGACGCACACAGCCTGGGAAATTAAAGAAACGGCTCATAAATTATGTCTGACCCCAAAAAATGCACAGAAAACATGTGTGGAGACTGACGACCGACGAACTGATATGAAGCCCAATGTTCTTGCTCCGACGCCAGGACTTGTCGCCGGACCGGCACACGAAAATATTTCCGTAGATTCCCATGACAAAGAAGCCCTAGCCAGGGTTCAATAGACTAATACATGAGTATTCTCTACTGTTTATGTTGTATATATTGTTCTAGTCAATGGATTTGTAATCATAAACCATGGTAATATTTTGCTTAGATCTAAAGAATGTAGAAAGCCCTACCTTTGTTGAAGTCTGGAAAAAAACTGAAATTTAAGAATTTTAGTAACTTCGAGGGGAGGTCGGAAATTTCAAAGACTAAAAACTGAGAGCAGTTCTGTTCCTCGCCCCTGGTCATCTTTGGTCTGTTCGCTTGAACTTATCAGCCGGCTTATCAGCTAGAATCTACAGTGTTTTTCTCTCACAACAAAATAATTGAGCCGACTTTAATACCAGTGAAGGATTACTTGACGCTTCTGAACCTCAAATGGCAGTAGCATCTCACTTGCCACAAGATTTTCGTCCTCTGAAACTGTCGATTGTCTATTTCCGAAAACTGTCAATTCTTCAGGATCTATCAGCCTTTTGGCACTGTGTGCCTAGTGGCCATTGGGATGGAGGCACACACCGACGCGTACTCCTCTGAGCAGCAAACATAAACAAACAGCAGCAGTGGTTACCTCTTTGTTCTCCTCCTCACTTGAGGTGAGACAAGGCCCGGGCAGGCCATAGAAAAATGCCTGGGCAGATAGGGGAGAGCCAAAGTCAAACGAACGAGTTGGGATCTTTAGTGGCATGGACCTTTTGGTGTGAACGGTGCAGCACGAATCTCCGACTCCGGAGTCCCAGCAGTTTTGGGATCCCTAAAATTAAGCATGTGATTGAGCAATTAATTAGAGCCTGATGAGATACGATTGGGATTGAGTCAAAGTCGTACAACAATATTCTCCATAGGCCATAGCTACATGTTGCTACAGTAATAGTTGTAGTCACCTTTTTTTATCATGCCAAATTGATCCACTAACTTTCTCAATCTAATATAGTTACAGTAAAATCTTATAGATAAAAAGTATTTTAAAAATACATTCTAAAAAAATACTAAAATGGTGGTCGAAGGTATGCATCGCACACCGTGCAAAATTAAATGTGATAAAGCCTTTTCTAGCGTAGAGAGTCCTTGATTCTTATACAAATTTGTCATGTACAATTGCCCACGCCAATATCCTAGTGACATGGATCGAGCTCCTTTTCACATAACTCCTCTTGCTCGTCCTCGTTACAATTGAATATGCCATGTCGTGAGTTGTGACTGCCGATAACCTCCTATTCAGCAACATACGTCCTCGTATCCCTTTGACTATGTGTCTCCACTGTCTAGGTTATTATCATCGTTGTCGCTAAGGTACTCTTAGGCTCATGTACTTTTTCATAACAACATAGAACTAGCCACTGAAGTTTGAGAGCATATGTGATTTGTTATAGACTATGGGCGTATTTGGTTCCAAGTATGAAAACTTGGTTGGGGCAGGGAATGATTCTTAGTCATAGGATTTTGATCGTTTAGGGTACAGATTCTTGCATGGATGAAAATCTACCTGGCAGGCAGCAACCAAACATGACCTATTTGTCAAAGCTCCTAAAGCAGCTCCCAGAGTTGGAGACCTCTTCTAAACTATGGTTTGCAGAGTCATTCCGTGGAACTAATTTTTTACAGCGAACAAGATGGTGGGATATGGAAAAATATTTTCTTGATTCACTTTCTTCACAAAGGTTATTCTAGAAAATCATTGTCAGGCAAAGTCACTTTCTACACACACAAAAAATCCTTTCAAGAGGACCTTTATCCAACAGGCCACAAAAGTATCTGTATTTTGGCCCCGTTCGGCTCGCTGAATCTTTGCTGAAATTAGCTGGAAAAACACTGTTCTGGCTGAAATGTTGTGAGAGAAAAACACTGTTCCGACTGAAAAAAGAAGCCGAACAAACCGGATATGGGGTATCAAGTTGTTCTTAAGACCAGACAGCCTAAATTTATTTGCAATGAATTGTACCACCTTCCTATTCCACAAGTTGATTTGTACGTGGACCTCCTATTTATTATGTTTAGGGAAAAAATTCTCGACCAACAGATATACATTACTAGCGAATCAATGCAAACACGAGTATACTGTATACACAATACTGGCAGTTGGGCACAAGAAAAATAAAATCTAATGGTTTCAGTTCCAACAAAAATCCCAACCAAAACAAAGATGCTCCTGTGGATGAAATGCATTAGTATAAAGCGTGAGAAGAGACAACAACACAAATTGTGGTGTACTGGGCTGTTTATGCACGGACTAAAGTCTAAGATGTGTTATATCGGATGTCATATGGAGTGTCGTATGTGATATTCGCATGCTAATAAAAAAATAAATTACAAATTCTGTCAGTACTCCGCGAGACAAATTAATTAAGCATAATTACTCCATCATTAGCACATGTTACTGTAGCACTATCTTGTCAACTTATAGACTAATTATGCTTAAAAAATTCGTCTCAATCTATGCATTTAGTTTTATAATTAATCTATATTTAATACTTCATACATGTGTCAAATATCCGATATAGCAGGAGCTAAACTTTAGCAGCAGTAACCAAACACCCATCCTAGCCATGGTGGATCCCTACCTAAGCATTTTCTACATTTACACCAATGCCCTCGCCTCCTGCCTTTCCGCGCTAGGCGTATTTGCAAACAGGACCAAAACATATTAGTATTTGCGCATACGTCCCCAGCAAGGGAAGAAAACAAACCCGCAGCGCCCTCGAATTCTGCAGCCTGCGCCGCCCCCGCCCTTGCTGCCGTTCGGATACGATACGAGCTTCGGATACGATACGAGTCCCCCCTGCGCTTCGCTACATTCTCAACGAAGCCCCTCTCCATTGCGCCCCTTACAGATCGGTGGGAGAGAGAGAGAGAGAGAGAGAGAGAGAGAGAGAGAGCAGCAGGCAGCCCGTACGGCGGTGCGGGGAGCGGCGTACGTATCCCAGCCCACCGGCACGAGGCCGCGTTTACAGGGTGCGCGGTACCACGCACGGGGCCCTTTTTCTGGTGCGCGCCCTCAATGCGCGCTTGATGCCCCCGGCTTCTCCTCGATCCGCTTCTCCTGTTCCTGGCTGCGCCTAGCTGGAGCGGGAAGCGGGAAGAGCGGTGGGGAGCCCGGCATTTTGATCCGGTTTTCCGCGTCCTTCATCCGCCCGCCGCGATCTCTGCGAGGTTAGTTTCTCGCAGCTCCGTTTTTTGTGGCGCCAGCACGCGAGATTTTTCTTTTGGTGTGGGGGTTCTTCCAGGACTTCTCCAGGTGTTCAGTGCTCTGCGTACCAGCTTAGTTCTTCGGGGGTGGGTTTTGATCGATTTCCTTCTCAAAAGGCAAGTCCTTTGGACGAGGATTCATCGTTCCTTCGCGATCTTGTTGTTGCTTGGCTGTCGTGAAAGTTTCCACCTTTGAGCCCCCGGCTGTCGTCAAAGTGTCTACCTTTGTGCCCCGGATTGGTTTTCCTTGGGGCAATCGCGTTTACGCTCCTCGGTTTTCGTTGCCATTGACGCGCAACTCCGTTCGAGGTTTGCGTTTGGTTCGTGCTTTCGATCGGCGCAAGTATTATTTTTCCTCTGTTCGATAGATTTGATTGAAATATTTTCGATTTGCCTGTCGATTTTACATTGAGGTGAGACATGTCTCAGGCTTTTAGAGAAGCCGCAATCTTTTTCACTTTTTTTTTTCTTATGGAAAGAAATAAAAGTCTTGATCTCTGAATTGGATGCTACTTTTGGATAAGAAGATGTTCTTCGTTTGTGCATTAGTATTCTTCTCAAGCATTTAGCATTTACTGCTAAAATTGCTCACTGTTTGATATGGCGTCCCATGAAAAGTCACGGATAGACTTGACAACGATAAATCTATGTGCGCAGTCTGGCGATTGGTCAATCGCAGGCTAATTCAACAGTGTCCTCAGACGTGCTTGGTCCGGTCATCCTCATACTGTTGCAGTTTCTCATGGTTCAACGCGTCTGCACCCCGTTTCACACCTGTTTTTCGGGACCCCAATGACATTAGAAGGAGTCAAAAGCCCGTAATTTTGAATTATTGGTGTCTATTATTTGAATCTTGTATTGGATACTTGCTATGGTTGAACTAGCCTTTTTCTAGTGCAATAATTGCCAATATAATAGTGGCCGTTGCTCAACCGCTTCAGTTTACAATTTTGCCTCCCTGTTGCTGTATTTTAGGATTCTTGGGAAGGGGTATGTGACTACTGGATCCTCCACCAAGCTCTTCAAGTTCCAGGATCCATTCCTCTGTATTGGGCAAGCTCTACACCTCTGTAGATTATCAGCCTGATTCACAGCTTGCTGCAAGAATTCGACTGCAGATGGACCAAGGAAGCGCGGCTGATGCGATTCCTGGTTTGAGGGCTTCTGTTGGTGTTTCGAGCTAGCAGACTCCTTTTTCCTCCTCAAAGTTCCAATTCAACATGTGGTTTCTATGGATCCAGACTTCCAAAGTTGGAATCTGATCACTCGAGTCAGTGCTTCTTAGCTTCCTTATTTGCCGTTATGGAGGAGCAGAACTCATGGCTTAGGACCAAGTTCTCCCATACTGTCTACACTAGAGTGGATCCTCGAAGAGTAGCTGTCGCTCCGGTTAGCAAAGATGCGGTGCTACCTTTTGCTCCACTTAGCAAGGATGTTGAGCGGAAACTGCAGAAATTTGTCAATATGAAGAAGTCTGTATCGATGCCCGTTGATCGGGATGATGAAGATACAGGAACTGCATTCAAGCACTGCGCTAGCTTGCCGCTAGTCCGATCCCGGCTTCAGCTTGATAGGGACAAGGTCAACAAGCCCAAGAGGGCGAGCCTGGAGATTCCTTCAAGCCCCCCGATGAACTCAGAGAGTTGCAAGACTCCAAAAGCAAGGAGCCTGGTCAAGAGCCCGAGTTCAATGATGCTCCTAAGTTACTTGAACAAGGCACCCTCAAATCAAGGCTATAGTCCGCAAAAGGCTTATGGACCTCGGCCCAAACCAAGATCAAAGTCCCCCCTTCCTAGTATTGTGCCTTCTGGAGTGTTCAAGGAAGCAAAGTCTAGCAGCCAGAGGTTTGCAAGCCCTCCTCCACAGCGAAGAGGATCTGAAAAGAGTATATATGGCAAATCATTTGGTAGGCAGGTCTCTGATATGGGTCAAAGTCCTGATTGGTGCTCAACTTCAGTGGTATCTGGTAAGCACAAGTCTGGTAAGCACAAGTCTCAAAAGGACAATGCTTGGACAAGGAAATACAGTGGTGGAAGGAGGGTTAGTGCAGTGAATCCTGCTGATGATCGAAGGGCACAGATGATTAGAATGAACCAGGCGGTGCAGACGACAATTGATTGGACCCTTGTTCCATCCAAGCTGCTCGTTGGGCACAGGTTTGCTAGTGGAGCGTATAGCCGGCTGTACAAGGGGTTCTATGATGATAAGCCAGTTGCAATTAAATTTATCCGCCAACCTGATGACGACGACAATGGGAAGATGGCTGCAAAGCTTGAGAAGCAGTATAACAGTGAGATCAATTCATTGTCTCACCTGTACCACAAGAATGTGATCAAGGTAACAGTTAACAAGAATGTGATAAGTTTTGTCACTCACTGCATTGTGCCTTTAGTCTTATGTCTCCTGCTAAATGGTTATATACAAGTGCATGTGCTGATTTTACATTATACTCTTATAACCATTTTATTGAGATCAGTTTAAATTAGTGCTACTGATTATGGCTTGTGAAGGGCGGACCTGGTGCAAGCGGTAGAGTCTTACCGCCTGTGACCGGAAGTCTCGGGTGTCGCGGTCTCCTCGCATTGCACAGGCGAGGTTAAGGCTTGTCACTGACACCCTTCCCCAGACCCCGCACAGAGCGGGAGCACTCTGCACTGGGTACGTCCTTTTTTACTGATTATGGCTTGTGAAGTTGCCCCCACTATTTTTATAAACAAATTAAGCTGGTGTTCCCACTCTTAGGAACACTGGAACTACTGTGCTAGTGTACTCAACTGCTCAGAGTATTTATCAATATATGTTTGTCTTTGTATGGATTGTTTGTAATGAGATGATCTTACCAATTACGCATAATGCATTTCAACTGCATGTAGTGTTGATTGCTTTGTAATGCAACCACCCTTCTCTGATCAATTTTCTGCTAACGCAGCTTGTAGCAGCCTATAAATGCCCACCAGTTTTTTATATTATTACCGAGTTCCTTCCTGGAGGCTCATTAAGGTCATACCTAAATAATACAGAGAACCACCCCATCCCTCTGGAAAAAACCATATCCATTGCTCTCGATATTGCCCATGGTTTGGAGTACATACATTCTCAAGGGATTGTTCACCGTGACATTAAGCCCGAGAACATTCTCTTTGACGAGGACTTCTGTGTGAAGATTGCTGATTTTGGTATTGCCTGTGAGGAGACTTTATGTGATGTGCTTGTGGAGGATGAAGGCACTTATAGGTGGATGGCACCTGAGATGATCAAGCAAAAGGCATACAACCGAAAGGTGGATGTCTACAGCTTCGGACTGCTCATGTGGGAAATGGTATCTGGGAGAATTCCTTACGAGAACCTGACCCCTTTCCAGGTGGCTTACGCAGTAGCCAACAGGGTAATGATTTCTTTCTTGCTTTGATTACAACTTAAGTGAATTTCTTCGCACAGTGACTGTCCAGGGGAAGATATCTCTTACATGATTGATTTTTTCCAGAACTTGAGGCCAACAATTTCTCCAGAATGTCCATCGTCCCTCAGACCACTGATTGAGCAGTGCTGCGCCTTGCAGCCTGACAAGAGGCCCGACTTCTGGCAGATTGTGAAAGTCCTGGAACAGTTCCACTCCATTCTCTCACAGGGTGGCTGCCTCGACACACCAAAGAGTGGCACCTGCCAGGACCCCAAGAAGCGGCTCATGCAGTGGATTCAGAAACTGAAACCGACGCATAGCACCTGAGTAACCAAGGCTCTTATAGTTATAGCACCGTTGCAGCCGTAGTTTTTGTCAGGTTGGATATGCTCGGTAGTTTAGACCTGTTGAGGATCCTTTGATTCAAGGAACCAGTGTTCTAGGGATGCTCGTAGCTGTGCATCCGCTGATCTGCAATATAGATCTTACAGTAGCTGTACATGGTTATGCTTTTGCATTTTTTTTCCTCCACCCTTGTTAAATTTACCTGCAGGTTATTCTCATGATACCATAGCATGTGCCCCTCACTCGTTGAGGTGAAAGGAAAAGGAAAAGCATATGCACAGTTGACTCTTGAGGCCGTCTTTTGGGAAAGGGCGTATGCTAATACAATTATTGCGCCCTTCCCTTCTATTATTAGCAGCTGCCCTGCCGTGCTTATTGCCATGATGCTGATATCTGAGACAGCAACATCTTATTGCTACTTGACTAAGGCTCCATTATCCTTGAGGTCACAAATATTTTCGCCGTGTTATGTCGACAGTTTAATTGTTTTCGTTTTTTTTTTTTTTTGTTGCGTTCAGACGTGTTTCTGAAACCGGTTTCGTATCCATTGGTTTTGCGGTATAGTCTGTCTTTGGTGAAACTTTGGGTTAATTCTAGGTCCAGTTTGCAGCATTCACCATGAATACTTATATGCCTTGTTTGGATGCAAAGTACTTTTGGAGTTTTATAACAATACCATAGTTTTGTAAAAGTACTTGGGTTTTGGAGCGTCATGAATTGTTTGGATTGAACGAACTTTATAATTTTGAAAACCATGGCATTACAGAAACAGTAGTTTTTTTTGGAGTTTTCAAAACTGTTGTAAGCCTCCATTTTTTTTAAAAAAACTATGGTTTTGCATGTCTCTTTGCTTCTCAAACTAAAGTTTGTTGATACTAGAGTTTCTCAAGACCTTAACATCCAAACAGCCTGTCGACAGACAGCAGAAACTGGGTCCAAAACCTGAGCATTGTTGCTCTCTGGCAGTACACCATTTCAGAGTTGAAGAAGAGAATGCATGCCGTGGGCCATTCAGTAGTCTCACACCTGGTCTCACACAAACATGCCAAGATGTTTTCTGATTCTGAAATTGGCTGACACTAACAAGATGTTTGCTTTTATGTGTGTATATTTGTTATATGAAAGGTGAGCTATGATCATCTCCAGTCCACTACACGAGTACAAATCGGCTGGTGTTTTTTTTCTCCTGTACACACACACACACATGACACACATGATGCATGTCGATTACTTGCACTGCCTGTTGGGGAAGGCCTCGGACCTGACGATCCTGTCGATGAGCCTCCGGAAGCGCTCGGCTCCGGGCCCAGGCCTGAGCACCCAGTCGTTGTCCACGCCCCGGCACGCGGCGTCGGCGCCGCACCAGCCGCCGGGCACGAACGCCACCTCGCCGGCGGTGCCGTTGCCAGTGCCGTTGGCGGGGCGGGGGCGCGGGCGCGCGAGGAGTCCGTCGTCGATGGCGTCGAGCAAGGGGTCGTCCCGCGGGAACTTCCTCGCGAAGGGGGCGCCGCTGGCGAGCATGGCGGGCATGTCGGCGAGCACGAGCGCGTGCGGGTGCTGGCGCGGCGGCACGTCCCACTGGATGTGGTGGAGGTCGTGGTTGGCGACGGTGGGCACGAAGCGCGGCGCGTTGCAGAGCAGCGTCTGGAAGTAGCCCTCCGGGGAGGAGACGAAGTTGGCGTAGTACATGAGCAGGGTGCGCGGCAGGTTGTCCCACCCCCACACCGTGTACTCCACGAAGTCCCGCGTCAGCGCCACCCAGGCGGAGCCCGTGAAGAGCTTGAACGCCGTCGGCAGCTCCCGCTTCGGCGTCACCCAGAAGATGTCCTGCTTCTTGGACCCGTATAGCCCCGGGTCCACGATCATAGGCCGAGCTCGCTGCCCCCTGCAAGCATGAAGAATGGCAACAGTCAGCTTCAGCTACCTTTGCATTTCATCGAACAGTTGAGCTGCAGATGCAGAGAGCTACTCACTCTTTCCAGCCTAAGTTACCCGTGTGTTCGATGAAGTTGACGTTCCTGGGCACCGTCGAGAATACGTGCAGGATGTCTGCCATCAGTCAGTTCAACATTCAATCCGTTGGTACAGAATCGTCAATGAAACTGTGTGTGTGTGTGTGTGTCTATATATATATATATATATATATATATATATATATATATATAATAAGTTAATAACAATGCAAAATGCATAGCCTAGGTGAACCTGTTTGACCGTGTGTCGGTGTGTGTATGCATCAATGCATTTGTGTGTACTCGATCACACGGGCATGGAGGAAGACGATGACATCTGGCATGCATATATGTATATATATTAAATAAAAAATTATACGTATGCATATACGTACCGTCCTGCGTCATGAGCGGGTAATCGGAGGCGGAGAGGTTGATGAACCAGTCCCAGGCGCCGCCGCGGCGGAGGAGGACGGCGCAGGCGTGCAGCGTGTTGGCCACCATCGTGGGGCCGCGGTAGGTGACCATGTTGGGGCGGCGGATGACGTGGACGTTGCCGGCGAGGCGGAAGACGGTGGAGTTGGCGACGCGGGCAGCCAGCTCCAGGCGCTCCGCCACGGGGGCCTCGCGGTCCAGGTGCACCACGTACTGGTTGCGCGGGTGGTACAGCGCGTGCAGCGCGCGCCAGAGACGGTCCAGGTCGCCCTTGGACCCGGAGATGAGGTACGCCAGCCGCGGCACGCCGGCGCCGGGCGGCGGCGTGTCGTTGGCCGGCTCAGCGGCGGCACGTTCTCCCTCCACGAAGTCGGCGGCGCGGGTGGCGGGCAGGAAGGAGAAGCAGGACGACGACGAGGAGATGTAGGACGAGGAGGACGACGTGACGGCGAGCGCGACGGCCAGGAACAGCAGCAGGCTCAGCGCGGCCGACAACGCCCACCGGCTGTCCACCAGCCACGCCGCGCTGCTCGGCAGCTTCGTCGGGGACGCCGCTCCTGCCCCGCCGCCGCGCGGGGTCTTGGCTGACGGGGAGTAATGATGGTCACCCCCGCCCACGCCCCCGCCACCGCCGCGCGGGGAAGCCGACTTGGCCGACCTCGGCGAGTGCTGGTCGCCGCGGCCGTTGCCGTGCATGGCGCCCAACGACGATCTGCCGCCGCTCGGTGCAAGGCGCCACCAGGGCTAGCTAGCGATCGCGCGCGATCGATCTGTTGGGTCGATGGACGGACACTACAGCGCCTGCGGCCGCCGCTGCTGCTGCGTGTCTCACGCGCCGCGCGCGCGCCCTGGACGATGACGATGGTTCTTTCCGGCGATTGACGAGTAGCTCCAGGACCGGTTAAACCTAAAGGAAGGCAGAGACAATCCGAGACCACTTCAACGGATGAACAGCCCGGACACCCACCAACTAACCTGGAGATTGACAGAGAACAACAGACAGGTGCAGGCAATTACTCTGAACGCCTCGTTCATCAACTTGACCTAGAGAGAGACAGACAGAGGTGCCAGGATTTGATGCAGTCTAGGAGCGAGGACGACGACGACAACGACGACGACGATAGATATGGCGTGGAGAGGCGAGCAGGTTTCTCGGAGAAACGGTTGCTGGTTGCTGGTTGCAGGGATGTCGCGAGGGCAAACACGCGATATATAGGTAGGCGTAGGCCTGTGTATGGGAGAGGATAAACAAATGGCAAAGTGGCCAACGCCCGCGGCAACGCGGCGAGCGGTAACGTCCCCGGCGACCCTCCGGTCACGCCCCGCCCCGTCCCTCTCGTGCTCCATCTCTCCCGTACGCAACGCAACCCAGCGTCCCAGCCCGCCATGCCGATGCCATGCATGCACACCGGCCACGCACGCCATACCGTACCCTGCGTTCCCTCTTTCAACGCAGGCACACATTATTCTTGTTGCATATGTCAGCGTCATCAACATCTATATATAGTAGTGGAGCGTGTGATTTGAGAGCACATGAGGCGGAGCATGTGCCTTTTGCCCTCTTGTACATATTTGTATGTGCTTGTACAGTGCCTTTTTAGGCTTCTTTCTTTTTAATACAATAGACAGCTCTCCTATCGGTTCCGTTTTAAAAAATAAAATCTATATATAGTAGTATCTCTATCTCTATCTCTATCTTTATCTCTATCTCTATTTCTACCTCTATAATACACCAGTTAGAATTAATCTACAACCACACAATAAATACCTGCTCAACAATCATGACTTATGCTACATCCACACCTACAAATACACCCAGAAAATATAACACCATCAAAACGAAGACACCAGATCATCTCACGGCATTGGCATTCTCTCTCCTTACTCAACCAAATCCGACAGCCATTGTTCAATGTGTCAGCTACTCCCCCACGGGCGCGTGCCCTCCGTTCACCCCCAACCGCAGTGCCCCGTGCCCAGCAACCAGAGTTCGATCCCTCGGGTGCCTTTTTTTCCTCGAAAAAATGAAGCCCCGCGGCTCCCTGGCGCACCGCGACTCCTCCTCTCCCACACACACGCGAGATGCGACGACTACTCTCCCACGACGTTGCGCCGGGACGGGAGGGCACCGGCCGCCAGCCATTCGTAGCAGCAGGAGGCGTATCCGGTGCCGTAGTTGTCCAAGCCCTCGGTCGCCGAGGAGACCGCATCCGGCCGGTCCTCGGTCTCGCCGCGGTGGCATGCACAGGAGGATGTCGATGGCGTGCGGACACGTGCGCGCGAGGGGAGCCTCCTGGCAGCGGCGGCAAGGCGTCACTAATGCTGGAGCAGGTATTAATCCACCAATTCATGCCTCAGTTCGGAATTTAGGGTTCCAAGTTTGGGGAAAAAATTGGGGATGATGGCGGCGCGGCGGAGGCAGACATCGAGTAAGAGGCAGGTTTGATTTGTTTTGCATGTTATGGTGCTAACTGTAGTTTGGTGGGAGAGTGTCTACGATCGATTCCAGCAGAATTGGTGCCTTCTGATTGCAGCAGTAGAGTTGTTGCGTTCCGATCAGGAGGGTCTGTGATCAAACTAATCTGACAAAGAGAC